CTGAGAAGTATCTAAGTAGATATAAGAAGGAGTCAGGACAAAATGATGTTACCTTAGTCACTTCAGCATTAAATACAGTCTGATGCTAAATTTAAAAAATGTTTACAATGAAAAGACTAGACTTGTTACTAGTTATACGGTGCCCTTGATTACAAAAACTGTAACTTAAACAGTTGTAAATACTCTTTATAAAAACACTCCTCATGGGGTCCTCCTTGTTTCCTAGTTTCTCTGGTGGTGTGGATTGTAGGCTGGTAGTTCTTTGCTCTGTGTCTTATATCCATATGTGAGTGAGTACATACCATGCTTATCTTTCTGTGATTGGGTTACCTCACTCGGGATGGTTTCTTCCAGTTCCATCTATTTGCCTGCGAATTTCAAGATTCCATTGTTTTTTTTTCCTACTGAGTAGTACTCTATTGTGCAAATGTACCACATTTTTTCCATCCATTCTTCGGTTGCTTCCAGGTTCCAGCTATTACAAACAATGCTGCTACCAACATAGTTGAACATAGAGCCTTCATCCAGTAGCTGATTGAAGCAGAAGCAGGCACCCACAGCTAAACACTGGACCATACTCCTGGAATTTAGTTGTAGAGAGGAAGAAGGGATGAGCAAAGGAGCCAAGACAGTGCTGGAAAAACCCACAGAAACAGTTAACCAGACCTAGTGTGGGCACAGGGACCCTAGTCGTAAAGCTGGGGAACCAGCATTGGACTGCACCAAGCCCTCTGAATGTGGGTGCCAACTAGGAGGCCTGGGCAGTCTATGGGACTTCTCACAGTGGAGCCAGTGTTTATCCTTAGTGCACAAATGGACTTTGGGAGCCCATTCCCTGTGAAGGGATACTATTGCAGTCCAGATACAAGAAAGAGGGACAGACTCTGATGATCCCTGGGGAGGGCCTCATTATCCTTTGGGAATGGATGGGGGGGTAGTTGGTGGGTCGGTGGGGGGGGGCATGGGAGGATGGGAAGGTGAGTGAATGGAGGGATTGATATGTAAAATAAGATTGTTTCTAAAATTAAAAAGACATTCCTTATAAATACTCTACTTTATTGAAAATTATTATTATGCACAGGCAGAGCAAAACAATGTATCTGTAGTTTAATAATCTAAGCTTTCTGACATGGCTTAAGAGAGACATGGGGCAGAGGGGTGTGACAGAGAGTCAGGGCCACGTTTTTCACTGCAAGGAGGCATGTTTTCAACCACATATGCAGCTGAGAAATTCCTGTGGGGGAAAATGGCTGCAATCGGAGCAGAAATGGCTGTACCAAGTATATTAGTTTTCTCCTGCAGGGCCTTCCTTCTGGAGTTGACTTACCTGGCAGTATGGGAAGCTGGCAGTGTAGCCTTTTAGTAGGAAACTATCAAATAAATAAGTAAATACTAAACCATAAATTACTATACTGTCACTTCTAGACTTTGTTACTTGTTGTTTGTCTCATCATTTTCCAGACTCGTCATATAATTTATATTATTATAGTCTCAAAAAATGAACCCATTTAGACTGTGGGAAATTGGAGAGTTTGCTAAGTTAGCAAAATTAATGGGATTCTAGTTCTATAATCTTGTGGACTTTTGTGAATTTCCAGAAACTTGGTTATGGGGAGCACACCAGAGAATACTATTCAGACATAGTCTATACCCAGTTGGAAGTCTTTATTCCAGCTGGCTGGGACTATACTCAGGTATTTGGAACCTAAGTGTAGCACTGGGTTTTTAGAGTAAGGGGATCTTAAAATATCAAAACTCAAATCCTGGTATCTCACTCAGCAGCTGGCAGGGAGGGGGAGGGGTTGCACAAGCAAGCAAGCAGTTTAACAGAAACCAAGATAAGTTAACTGGGTCATCATGATCATAGGTTCCAGAATAGAGTTGTGTGGTTTTCCATGGGATTCTCCATCAAGAATATCAAATTCTAGTCAAACCTAAAATGGATGTAGTAAGAATATAAGATGGAGGAATGACTGTACTGTACCGTGTTGTCATGTTCTCCCCCTGGTTCTATGGGCATGAGTCAAATCATCCTGTTTTAAGGGGGTATAGTTGGTCCTGAAGACAAGCAACTTAACTGAGTTTGTCTCTATTAGATGCAGTTGGCCTTGCAGTTAAGGGTACAGAGTCCCACCATTAGCCTGATCAGAATAAGAACCAATGGCTCAGCTAACACTGACTTGGGGTGGGGGGTGTCAGATAAATGAGGCAAACAGACTGATACCAATTATCTGACTTATGTCTCCTTCTCTTTCTTTGAGGTTTTCTCTGATCATGTTTTTTTTCTAATTACCCCTCACTGATTGCCATGGAAACAACAGGTTTCTCCTAACCTTCCTTGTTTCATCAAGAGAAGATCTACTAAGCCTCTTCAGTTTTGCAGATCTATGTCTGCTCAAGTCTACTTATTCTTTCTAGTATAGATATGTAATCTTCTAACATCCCTAAGTTCAGGTCAACTTTTTTTTAACCTTAATTCTCTAAAGGTTTGGTCATTGACTAGGATGAACATAGTATTCCAGGTTAATGATCTTGGGTCAGTCTTATTTTTAAGGGGTCTGAAGTCTGAATGACAGTTCATATGTCATTGCCCTCAGGGGCCTTTTAGAGGGGGGATGTGGACAGATGGATCCAAAGGATGACACCAGCCACTTTCATATTCCCTGCAATGGAGAGGATAATTGGGTAGAGTCCTTTCCAGGAAGGTTCCAGAGTCTGGGCAGGGATTCTCTTTAGCAAATCAAGTCTCCTGGCTGGAACTGGTAGGCAAGTTGAGAGGTAGGAGATAGTGGGATTCCTTCACAGTTTGGTCAATGACTTGTCAAGCCTCCTGCAAAGCCCACAAGGACTTTGCCTGGGGATTATCTCTGAGGATGTTGACCAGTCTCTAGGACCTATTTGGTTAGTCTCCTTATGAGTTTTATTCATTCTTTGTATCCAACCTGAATTCTGTGGCCTATATTCACAATATACCTTCCAGTTAATACTTAATACCTTTGATTTTGAGTCACTGGGGAGATAGCTGTGCAGTTAAAATGCTTGCTTGAGGACCACATTTGGGATTCCCAGAACCAAGGTAAATGCTAGGGGGATGAAAGGGCTTGTCTTACAACTCTAAGGCCCAGAAATTGGAGATGGGATATCCAGAGCAGACTGACCAGCTAGCAGTAGTAATGAATTTTGGGTTCAGTTGAGAGACCCTGCCTCAATGAATAAAGTGTAGAAGAGTCAAGGAAAATATCCCAAATGAACTTCAGGCATCTATGTATACATGTACATATGCATTCCCCAATATGCACATACATTCCAAAACATATACACCTGAAAAGGAAAAAAATTATTTATTTAAAGCCATTTACTAGTCAACCAACATTATAGCTAACCTAATATCTGTAAAGTATTATAAAGCAGAAGAGATTTTGGAGGAAGTATATTTTACTTATCTAATGATGCATAGCATATCTCTCCATTTCTAAAACAGTGGCACAATATTTTACAGCATTTTGCAGTGCTGGCAGGATTTGTTAAATAAGATCATTCTTCCTAGTGACATTACCCACAGTAAGCTGATAAAGACTGGAGGACTGTCTCCCATGCACCCAGAGAGTTAATATTAGCCTCCTCTCAGCTGTTCAGGGAGAGTGTTCATTCTGTTCCACACATCCATTAAGAAGCTAATCTGGGCTTCTTATTGCATAGCAACTCAATTCCAAAGAAACCTAAGGGAGGTTGGCGTTCCAAGAAGATGAATCGCAAATACTGAAACACTTATCATGCCTTAATAACCAATTCAGAATCAAACTTTGCTTCATGCTGATATCCACTTGGTCAAAGCTAGTCAGATAGCAAAGGCAAGAGTCGGTGTAGGAGATCACCATGCAATGGCCAAATTCGGATAAGGAGACTAGTCCTTCAGAGGCTAGCAAGAGAAATGCTTTACAGCGGAATGGTGACTAGAGAAGTATAGTACAGAAATGCAGCTTGTCCTGTTTTCAAAGACCTCACAGGGAAGAAATCTTGCCATATTAAATAATGTTTTGTTGGCATCTAGGTAGATAAATGTAGGGACAATTATTTATTAAGGACAGTTGTTTATGGTATTGAACTTAAGATGTTACAACTGAAAGTCACGAGAGTGTAATCGTGTGCCCAGTGACCACAGGCAGAAACCAACTGGGCCTAGGTAATAGCAATTTGCACCACAAACCTACTTCTTGCTTTCAATTCTGTCTCCATTCACCTTGTTCACTTTTCACCGACACAAGGAACCACTGTAGTAACTTGTGGTGAGTCCTTGGGCACCCCCTCCCTAGGTTTCAAAAAATGGAATCAGGTTAGGTGTTCTCTGTTTCTTGCATATGCTATTACACTTTTACTACACATCAATCTGGCTGCATCTGTAATGGAAAGGAAATTGACTCATTCCTTTGCAATAACATTTCCTTAACCAACTGGAGTCCTCAGAGTTAATCGAGAAGGAAAGAGTTAATCTGAGCTTATCTATGAGCAAAGAGTATCCTTAGATTCCTAACTTGTGGATACTGTGGGAAGCTGGGTCCACTTGAGCAAAAAGGGTTCTTTGTGACAGCCAGTGCTGGAGGAACTCTGCCCTCCTTCCTTCCCTTCCCTCCCTTCTCTCCCTCCTTCCCTCATGACCTCCCTCCAGACCTCCTTCCCTCCCCACCCATTTTCGGGTTTTTTTTCCTTGTTGTTTCCGGGAGTTTCCTTATTGCTTTTGAGACAGGACCTTCTCCTGTGTACTGGATGTCCTCAATTCTTCCGGTTGGAAACCTGGATGCCCATTTTGACCAAGAGATTAAGTTCAACTTTACTCATTTTGCAAGGTTGCAAAGAAAATAAAGCAAAGTGACCGTGACCGGAATGATTTTCACTTTGTTTAGGCTCCCTGCACCCAGCCCCCTCTTTGGTTACCTCAGGACCAGTCCGCCTCAGACCACTCCCAATCCCCTCCTCCACTCTCAACCCAATCCCCAGCCTTTGACCACACACTACTTAAATCTTACAGGTTTGCAAGGATCTGCCGCCCACTCACTGCAGAGGGCTTGGCTCTGAAGTCCTGAACTCATTAACTCCAGAGTTCCACCCACAGGCAGCAGCGGGTTCCTCCCCTTAAACTTTCTCCCTCAAGTTCAGTTCAGGACCATTGCAATGAATTCCAGGAGGTCATTAAAAAGAAACCAAAAAGGTAACAATTTAACTATTTCTCTAACAATATCCTGTGTTGCACTAATTATGCTAACGCATCTCCTTGTTTTTCTTTCTTTTTTTTTTTTAACTTGAGTTTCACTTTCAGATTTGAAGGAAATGTCTGATTTAAAAAAAAAGTGATAGCTAAGGTGATGCAAGAACTCTGGCTGAATAAAATCAGAACATCCTTGGCTTTTAACGTTAATCCACCTATGTCCCATCTGGGGAGTGAGACTGTGTCAGAATCACACAGCAAAAGAAGGTAGAAGGCGATACAGGTATGAAGGACGAATGTATGATAATCCTAATGCAAAATCAAATCCGATTCCTGTGGTAAAACATCAATTTTATGAAGCAATTAAAACAAAGAAACGTTTCCTCTGTAGACTTCTGTTCTTGGAAAGATGGGCGCATTAAGAGACCTCTGAAGTAATTTTGTAAATAGGCTTTAAAAAGGGAGTAAAGGTGGCTCTGAGGTTGGGGGGGAGGGAGTAAGGAGTAAACAGGATCAAAATACATGTGTATGTGTAGTATATGGTATGAAATTCTCAAAGAATATGTAGAAAGATTATATTAAAAATTAATTTAAATGCTTTTTAAAAAATTGCACCATTGCCTTAAAGAAACAAAATCCCAGGTTAAAAACTCTTTTATTAGTTGGCCAGAAGGGAGCTGACATTTTATGATAACATTCTTGAGAAAGAATTCTTGGATGTTTCTAGGAACTAGGGATTGGCTTCCTGTTCCAGAATAAAAAGAGGATGATGGGAGAGGAAGGTGATCTCTTTAGGGAATTGTATAGCAAGGTCTGGAACCAGGATGAAAATTTATGGACTAGTTGGAGGAAAATAGTCAACCTTTCACTTATAGAAGTTGTCATAAGTTGTGTCCCTGACTTTATAATGTGATTATGTTTTGATATGTATCTGCATGTAGGTGCTCATGTATTAACTTAGAAAAAGATATTGCAATGTTTGTAAACCCAATTATAAATCGTGGCTAACTCTAGGTATGCAATCCCCACACTCCCAGCCTTAGTCATAATATAATATAATGTCTCCTTGAGTGAAGAAATGTAGTTCTATATGCCTTCAAAACTGCTTCCCCAAATGCAAGATCTTCTCTCTCTTCCTCTTCCCTTGTCTCTCATTAAGAGTCATTCAGCAGTAACTTTTTCTTCATTCTCATTTCATACTTTAACTGTATTTTGTCTGTTTGATTAGCATGTGGCTTTGCATATGTCAAACTATGGTTTCCTCTTTTCTTAGTTATTCATGTGACTATGGAGTTTGGAATTTAACAATTGTTTCCCAAAATATTTTAAAGCTTTCTTTTACTGTTACCTATTAACTCATGTTACTGATGAAAATCTATTCATAAAAATGGATCTCTTTTTCTTTGGGAATAATTAATGATATGATCTCCTTACAAAATGTTTAGGATTTGTGCCTGTCTTCTCTCTCTCTCTCTCTCTCTCTCTCTCTCTCTCTCTCTCTCTCTCTCTCTCTCTCTCTCTCTCTCTCTCTCTCTCTCTCTCTCTCTCTCTGCCTCTCTCTCTGCCTCTCTCTCTCTCTCTCTGCCTCTCTCTCTCTCTTTCTCCCTAAAAGTGCCCCAAATTCTTGATTTCATTGTAGTAATATTTTACATCATGTCTGTCACAAGACAAGTAATTGAAATTGTAGAATGTAAACTGTGCTAATGAGGTACTGGTATAATGTAAGATTTTATTTATAAGTAATATAAAGGCAGGTAACCTTTTGTATAGGAAATAGCAGTGTTTGTGTTTAGGACGAATAAAGAATTCATGGGGTGGGAGTGAGGGAGATTTCTAAAGCACTGGAGAAACCTTTGTTTCTTGATTTGAGTAGTGATTCCAGTGATATAGCCATTTATGAAAATTCAAAAATTTGTACATTTATGATTTGCGCACTATTTTGTATGCATTTAAAATATGATTGTTAAAATTAAAGTCAATCAGGGTAGGCCTCGTGTGCAAAGCTAAGCTTATATCTAAGAACATGAAATGGAAAGACAGAAGAGGGAAAATGCAAAACCTGACATGAGGGACAGGATTACACAGGATCACCAATATCTGCTTGGAAGCGATTCCACAGGAGAGACTACAGAAAGTGTAGGAAAGGATATTACCATAGAAAAAGAAATTATAAAAGTTGAGGGAAAACATGAACCTTCAGACGAAGCAAGTAGCAGTAGACACATTTTGAAGAAAAGGCATAACATGAAATATCCTTTTGAAATTTTGCATTACCTCATTTAAAGAAAAGACATTAAAGTGTATAAAGAGAAACTATTAAGAAAGTCTTCATAAGCCAGGCGCTGGTGGCACACACCTTTAAGCCCAGCACTTGGGAGGCAGAGGCAGATGGATCTCTGTGAGTTCGAGGCCAGCCTGGTCTACAGAGTGAGTTCCAGGACAGTCTCCAAAATAATACAGAGAAAACCTGTCTTGAAAAACCAAAAAAATTTATATAAAAGAAGAGAAATTGGATTAATGATGGAGAATAGGAGACAAGAAGATGATGCCTTCATGATTTTATGTGAAATTTATTTTTAAATCATTTTTATTTTTATGAATATTTTCCTGCATATCTATATGTGTATACTATGTATATGCCTTTGTGAACATGGAGGCCAGAATGAATGTATATCCCCTAAAACTGGAGTTACAAATGATTGTGAGTTACTATGTGGGTGATGGGAATTGAACCCTGATCTTTTAAAAGACCAGAAAGTGCTTTTAGTTGCTAAACCATTTCTTTAATCTCATGATGCATATTTGAGGTTAATATTCCTGTATTTAAAAAGTGTAACAAAGCTCTTTACTTTGTTCAATTAATATATGCTAATAAAAATTAATAAAATAGAAGTCTGTGCTTCAATAAGTCGTGTACCAAAACTATTAAAGACCAAAACAGCAAAGGTCAAACTTTCAAAGGTCTTTGGATTTTGTCAATAACCTACAAGCAAATGCTTCAACTCATTTCATTAGTAAGCCAAATACTACTCTACAACAACTCACGGGCCCAGAGCTTTCTTTTTTATTTTTAAAGTAAAATAAAAAGCAGTTTGAAGGGACTCGACTGTGCAGATGATCTTTTGTCACTGCTTGGGAACAATGCAGGTCGTCTCTCTGAGGGGAATCACCTGTAATTCATGCTCAGCCACTGTGAATTCATGAGTGGCATTGGGATTCTCCCTGGGTATTCGTGGAGTCCCTTATATTTCAAATGCTCTACCCACTTTAGTGTTTCTACTGCTGCCACTTTTCTGGTGCTTAGCTGTGAGTATCTCATGACAAATTTGAAATTTTCATTATAAAGTAAAAAATTACAAGACAATCTATGGGGCCTCTGGTAGTAGATCAGTATTTATCCCTAGTACACAAATGGACTTTGGAAACCCATTCCATATAGAGGGATACTCTGAAAACCTAGACACATGGGGAAGAGTCTAGGCCCTGCTCCAAATGATATGACAGACTTTGAATATTTTCCCCCCCCCGGAAGGCCTCACCCTCCCTGGGGAGCAGAAAGGGGAAGGGATAGGGAGCAGGTTGGTGATGGCCAGGGGAGGAGGGGAAGGAGAGGGAACTGGGATTAACATGTAAAACAAACTTGTTTCTAATTTAAATAAAAAAGAAAACAATTACAAGACACAAGACAGTTAAAATCATATGCTCAAATTATGAATAAAAATTTTCAAAATGGTTTGAATCTGAAAAAATACTTACAGGAACAAAATATAAATAAAAACTTTCAAAAATGTCTGCATTTGAAAAAAATACCAAAAAAAACTTGCAGAATTATGTGCTTTTAACTCCCAGTGTTATTACTCTGGCTGAATAATGGTTTTAATATTACATTGCTTTATCCTGAGAGCCAGAGGATCAGCTCAATTTATCCCTTTGATCCTTGCAGTTACCTTTGGAGAATTTCATCTAGATCTGAGAAATGAATTAATTTGTCCAAAGCTACAAGACAGAAGTACCTTTATGAGAACGTAGGTCATGTTATTCCAGAGTCTACTCTACTCACTATGTTCCTCTAAGTTTTCACTGATTCTTCAGTGACTATTGACTGATACAACATAAAATTATGAATGAGATTTCTTAGTGTTAGGCTTTTCTAATTAAGCTACATAAAATGTTCCGTGCTTACTGATAGTTACAAATCCAAAACCCTAACTTTTCATATTTTGGCAATATCAACCGCTGCTATACTAACAGTTACAGGGATGGATAGATATGGAAAAGACAGGGGAGCATGTGTCTCCTGTGCCACAAAGTAAGAAGGCATCATGAAATTCCGTATAGTCAGTAGATGTGAATATAGTTGTAGGTACAGTCTTTTAAATTGTGAATGAAACACTATATTAGGTGAAGATAAACATGACAACAGAAAACTAGTAAAGGAAATGAGAGAATGGAATAGTTAAACTCCTATCATTCAGAGTAGGACAAAATTGATTCAGATCAGTAACCACATGGGTGAGCCTGAGGATATTATGGCACGTGAAATACATTAGACAAAAGAAGACAAAAATCACATCCGTGAAAGAAGAACTTGTAGAATTATAAAGCTGTGGTTTCTGGAGGTTAAAAAGAGTGCAGGCAGGCAGAGGAAAGAGAAGGTGACTAACAAATACAGAAATGACTTGGATTACTATAGCTAAAGGTGATTGGTTGTATATTTCAACGTAACTAGGAAAAAGGATTTCAAACGTTCACAGGATAAGGAATTGATAAATATTTGAAGTATTGAACATGAATATCACTCTGGTTTGCTCACTATATATCATATACATACTAAAATAGCTACTGTATTCCAGAAAGGTGTGTAATTATTCTGTGTTGATAAAAATAATTTCAAGAGATTTTAGTCTGGAGTTCACCGACTTGGAGACAGTTTTAAAAATAGTAATATAACAATGGATAAAATAACCATAGTTGTAAAGAAATGGCACTATTGAATTTCTTATCTTTATGGTGGGATAAAGAATGAGAAAGAAGTATCTACAGTTTATTTCACTTACTGATGTTATTTGAATTATTTCTGCTTGGTGCGTTACTCTATGGTATGCACTTGCATGTTGCAAAGGTTATTAAGAAGTCTTTTATAGATTTGAGTGATAACACCTTAAACGAATACACCAAAGGATATGAAAGCATGGTAATAACCAATGATTTTTATATTTCTCTTATAGGGCAGAATCATGAAAGGGTGTCCATCCTATCTGATATACTCCTTCGGGGGACTTTTGTCCCTATGGATTCTTTGTGTAGCTTCCACAAACCAATGTACGGTGAGACATGAGGTAGCTGACTGCAGCCATTTGAAGCTGACACACATACCTGACAACCTTCCTGCTAATATAACAGCGTTGAATCTTAGCCACAACCAACTCAGAGGCTTACCATCTACCAATTTTACAAGATACAGCCAACTTACTATCTTGGATGCAGGGTTTAACTCCATTTCAAAACTGGAGCCAGAACTGTGCCAAACACTCCCATCATTGAAAGTCTTGAATCTCCAGCACAATGAGCTATCTCAGATTTCAGACAAAACTTTCGTCTTCTGCAGGGACCTGATAGAACTTTATCTAATGTCTAACTCAATACACAAAATTAAAAACAACCCTTTCAGAAGCCAGAAGGTAAGAGGGGTATGCTCATTTTGTTCTCAGAAATGCAAATATTATCTACATTTATGTGAAGTTACGTTTTCAAGTTGCTGAACCATCAAAGTCTGATAGCTATGAAGGTAACAGTACAAACGCTGATCAACCCTTTTCCTGATGGCTGGGATGTGCCTGTGCACGTGGGCACTGTGATATAAATCTGCCCCACATTACAGTCTTAAGTCTATATGAACATTGAGAAATATTCTTCTCTTGTGTTGTCTCATTTGAAATAGGGCTTAGAAGAGAGACCTCATGGGCAGAAATGCACCTGAGTATCTTATAGGGACCACAGAATATAAACTCATGGTGCTGCTGAATTTATGATGTGAAGTCATAAGAAACACAACCAGTCCAAATCTGACTCCAATAAAAGTAACAAATTGATACAATGGTAAAGCAGACTGTTGGGATAAATATTGCCTACTCCTTGGAGTTTAAGAAATCTCGGAACATTGCCTTTTCAATGGGTTCCACTCTTTTCTTTTTAAATTTGCTTGAGTTTTAAATTTATGAAAAGTATGTGCTATTAGCTAGTGACCTCAGCAACTCTAAAGTGCTTTATTTAAACCAAAGCCATTTGTAAATCAGTTTATCTTTTTTATTTTGTGGCCTCAAATAAAATGTCCAGCCTTATTCCTTCTCAGATGCCAAGGACATAATGTACTAATTTAAGTGCACTGAAGAGCATTGATAAAGCAATAACTTGACCAGTCTGTGAGCCTTCTTAAATCAGTGTGCAGGGAATTCCTTCCAGTATAAAGACCTCACCATCTGACCAAAGGAATTACCAGAGAAACACATTTTTTCTTTTTAATGTATACATGAAAGTCTTAATTCTTTAATAGAAATTTCATTTGGCTTTCCCCTAGCAGACATCACTGGTTTTCCTACTTTTTGCTTGAATTTGAAGCTTACAGGAGGATGCCCTGGTCCTCCAGCTTTTATAATCTTTCTGCACCCTCTTCCAAGATGATCCCTGAGCCTCAGCTTTAGAGACTGTGTTGTTTTCTCAAAGGAGGGCTTTTTTTCTTTCTTTCTGTAACTAGTTTTCAAGGTGCATGCATTATATTATGTTTACTAAATTGATGCTTATTATAAATAAACAAATAAATCATTAATTGTCCTTATATCATAAATTATAAAGCTTAAATCCTTTAACTTGGTGAAAGAAATAAGGTAATTCATAAAGAGACTAAATCCTTGCAACAAGGGTGGGGTTTTTTTGTTGTTGTTTAAATTTTTAGATTGCAATAGAATTACATCACATACCCCCTTTCTGCCCTCCATACCATCCCAGGTACCTTCTCTCAAATTCCTGTCATGTTCCCCACCACTCTCATGGATAGCCTCTGTTTCCTTAATTTTTATTGTTACATGTGTATGTGTGCACACACATGCAAGCACACACATATAGAAATATAACCTACAGAATCTGTTTTTGTTGTTTGTGTGTATATGGCTTCAGGGCTAACCACTTTGCATTGGACAACCCAGTAAAGGGGCTCATCCCCAAGAGAGGCTAAACTTTCTTCTCCCAGCAGTCACTAACAGTCTGCAGTTCTTTGTCCAGAGATGGGTCCCCTTGAAATTTACCCCGTTCCTTGTAACGTGTCTGTTGATATTGCCATTCCCCTGGTCTTGTTTGTGCAGTCACATATAGGTAAGACTTTTTCACAGCAAACTGGTACAAACATTGAAGAGGAGTGGGTGAAAGGCTGTAACAGTGATGGTGGTGTTTTTAGTTGCAACAAAGCTTGTCATTCCTTCAGAATAATAGAGAAATTGGTCATTTTTTTCCCTTGGAGATACTTCAATTCACACACTTGGAGGCTGTTGCTTCTCGTGTCTCTAATATGCATGCCTATTTTTCATTCTCAGAATTTAATTAAATTAGATCTTTCACATAATGGCTTATCATCTACAAAGCTGGGAACTGAGGTCCAACTGGAAAATCTCCAGGAGCTCCTCTTATCGAAAAATAAAATCTTTGCACTAAGAAGTGAAGAACTCGATTTTCTTGGAAATTCTTCTTTACAGAAATTGGACTTGTCATCCAATTCACTTAAAGAGGTAAGAAGCCAAGGAAAAATTATTTCCTGTTCTATTTTTATTCGTGTGTAATCCCTCACTGTGTTGCATAGATGGGAATTTAGGATTTCTAGTGAAACAAAATGATAAACTCTGCCAAGTCATCCTTCAACACTTGTTGGGAGCCACTGCCACCTTCATCCAAAGAGAGTTGAGAATTTTCCCATTGATGGGGCCAATTCCAAACCCTGTGCCATTGCAAAGCTGTTCTTTGATTTTTGAAAAGACTCTGACTTTAGTTTCCTAGTTGTATAGTGAAAATTAAACTCCTTCTCCTGAGATCTCTATAGGAATGAAAACACTATGTTGGTTAAGAGCTCAGGCCACCACTCCTACCCAGGATTTGTCTTTTAACAATTGTGCAATCATATAACTCATTCCAGTGATATGTGCTTCAGTCTTCCAAATCTGCGCTCTAACAGCACTACCTCAAGGGACCTAGGAGGCAAAATAATTTATTAGCGTGTCTGTAATATGGCAGCTTTTAGTATAAAAATTCCTAGTCATGGAATATTTCTCAGTTATTTTGTTTTTCTTTGGCCTATGATCTCCAGCTGAACTCTTTTTCTACATAGCTGTGTATATATTACATGCATTTGGTACTTTTGAGTTCATTGAGTAGTGCTTATATGTATGTGTTTAGAACTGACCTCGTAGTATTAGACAACCAATTAGAGACTCATCCCTAGGGAAAGACTGACTCTCCGTCTCTCACCAGTCATTAATTGCCTGGAACTCTTCATCTCTAGGGTATTTACAAGCTGTGAGAATATGAGAAGCCCTTAACAAATAGTTTTATAAAGATATTTTTCAGATATAAGAGACTGGAAAAATTATCCTGAAAGAATAATGGAATAATTTGTGTATGCTACACACTTTATTTTCAAAACAAGTGTTCTCTGATTACAACACACGTTCCCATAAATTATAAAATATATAAAAATGAGTGTTAATAAAATCACTTAAAAGTCTACCATCAGAAACAAACATTGCTAGTATTTGCGTATATATATTTACAAGTCTCCAAATAATTAGAAGACAGCCAACAACAACTCAATCTCAGAACACTTAACTCAGTACCAACACTGGGAAAATTGTTTCTGCATATTTTATATGTATATGCATGGTATTCTTAATCAACTTATTATTTTTACACAAGAATAAAGAAATACAAAGAAGGGCAGGTAACAGGGTGGTATTTCTGGTTCCTTACCCAAGACTATGCTCTCTACACCCATACGACACTGACTCTTGGAGGCAAAATTAATATCATATCATTGAACATCTCCCACACAATAATAATAATTTAAATAATAATAATTTAAAGAGAACACCTTAACTTTCAAGGCTGCAAACAATGTTATCAGGAGAATGTACCATAATTTAACTTTTGATTTTAACTCAAAAAACAAAACAAAACCTTAAGAACACCTCTTTTCATAGTCCTACTTATTTTTGCTCCATTAGCCCAAACGTGTTACAAGTTACATAGGAGAAATCCAAGTCCTTTTGCTCTTATGGTAAAGGCATGTGCCCAGCCCTGGCTATTGCCCTCTGGAGTCCCTCTTTGAATCCCAGGACAGCTGAGGCTTCTGATAATGGAATGCGAGTCAGTGGAAGAAAGTTGAAAACACTATCATAAAATAAAGACAGAAGAAAACCTGGAAAGACAAAACTGACAGCTCACTTTAGAGTTCTGGAAGACAGCATACATGGTACTGTCTCATTACATGTGGCCACTGAAAGCAGTCACCAAGATAAACTCAGGGTCTGCCCCATTCCTGCTTTCACACATAATTTACTAAATGCAACTGGATTCAGTGTGGTTTATGAAAAATGCTAGTAGACGCAAGCTTACCTGGGAAGCCGGGGAAGACCCTGGAGTGTGGGTGTGGGTGGGGTGATTACAGGCATAGAGTGAAGAAGGAATCATTCACTACAGGGATAGAAGGGACTGCCCTGCCCAAGTCATTTGGTGGAAGAGGGTAACTGAGCAAAGACCATTTTAGTGTGTCCTATAGAGCCTGTTACATCTGGGTGTTTTGTTTATTTTTGAACTGCCAGTTTTCTCCAGGGTGTTTTCATGCAGTTGGAAAGTTATCTACTCTCCTTTTGAACAACGCCCAACTAGACCTTCACCTCACAGAGAAGCTATGCTGGGAACTTTCAAACACAAGCATCCAGAATCTCTCTCTGGCTAACAACCAGCTTCTTGCAACCAAAGATACCACATTCTCCGGACTGAAGCAGACAAATCTCACCTCGCTTGATCTTTCCTACAACAACCTGCGTGACATTGGTAATGATTCCTTCTCTTGGCTCCCACACCTCAGGCACCTGTCTCTGGAGTACAATAATATACAGTGTTTGTCTCGTCGTTCTTTATACGGACTTTCCAACCTGAGGTTCCTGAATTTGAAACGAGCATTTACTAAACAAAGTATTTCACTTGCTTCACACCCCAAAATTGATGATTTCTCCTTTCAGTGGCTAAAATATTTGGAATATCTCAACATGGACGATAATAATATTCCGGGTACAAAAAGCAATACATTCACGGGCTTGGTGAGCCTGAAGTACCTAAGTCTTTCGAAAACTTTCACAAGTTTGCAAACTTTAACAAATGAGACATTTTTGTCACTTGCTCATTCTCCTCTGCTCACACTCAATTTAACGAAAAATCACATCTCAAAGATAGCAAGTGGTACTTTCTCTTGGTTGGGCCAACTCAGGATACTTGATCTTGGTCTTAATGAAATTGAGCAAGAACTCACCGGACAGGAATGGAGAGGTCTGAGAAATATATTTGAGATCTACCTGTCCTATAACAAATACCTCCAACTGACTAGTAACTCCTTCGCTCTGGTTCCCAGTCTCCAAAGACTGATGCTCAGGAGGGTGGCACTTAAAAATTTGGAAGTCTCCCCTTCTCCTTTCCACCCTCTTCGTAACTTGACTATTCTGGACTTAAGCAACAACAACATAGCCAATGTAAATGAGGACTTGTTGGAGGGTCTTGAGAATCTAGAAATTCTGGATTTTCAGCACAACAACTTAGCAAGGCTCTGGAAGCATGCAAACCCTGGAGGTCCTGTTAATTTCCTGAAGGGCCTATCTCACCTCCACATCCTGAACTTAGAGTCTAATGGCTTTGACGAAATCCCCGTGGAGGTGTTCAAGAACTTATTTGAACTAAAGAGCATCAATCTAGGATTGAATAATTTAAACATACTTCTACCATCTATTTTTGATGACCAGCTGTCTCTGAGGTCATTGAACCTTCAGAAGAACCTCATCACATCAGTTGAGAAGGATGTTTTTGGGCCAGCTTTCCAAAACCTGAGTAGTTTAGATATGCGCTTTAATCCATTTGACTGTACATGTGAAAGCATTGCCTGGTTCGTTAGCTGGATTAACCAGACCCATACTAACATCTCTGAGCTATCCACTCATTACCTCTGCAACACTCCACCTCAATACCATGGCTTCCCAGTGATGCTGTTTGATACATCATCCTGTAAAGACAGCGCCCCCTTTGAGCTCCTTTTCATGATTAATACCACTGTGCTCCTGGTTTTTATACTTATGTCATTGCTCATTCACTTTGAGGGTTGGAGGATATCTTTTTACTGGAATGTTTCAGTTCATCGGGTTCTTGGCTTCAAGGAAATCGAAGCACAGCCTGAACAATTTGAATATACAGCATACATAATTCATGCCCATAAAGATAGTGACTGGGTTTGGAAACACTTCTCCCCCTTGGAAGAACAAGACCAATCTCTCAAATTTTGCCTAGAAGAAAGGGACTTTGAAGCAGGTGTCCTTGGACTTGAGGCAATCGTCAATAGCATAAAAAGAAGCAGAAAAATTATTTTTGTTATAACATACCATCTGTTAAAAGACCCTCTGTGCAGAAGGTAGGTGGATTTTGTGAGTGTTTATGTCTGCACTTGTTTTTCAACTGAATTTGCAAAATTACTACATTCACAATTCATAAAATTCTTAACAAAATTAAGGGGGAAATAATAATTTTCAGTGAAAGTGCAAGTAAATTCCACAAATAATTTTAGATTGTTAAGATTTTAACATTTACCAATTATATGTCAATTATCTAATCATTCATTTTGATGTTTTATTTAGATTCAAGGTACACCATGCAGTTCAGCAAGCTATTGAGAAAAATCTGGATTCAATTATATTGATTTTTCTTCAGGATATTCCAGATTATAAACTAAACCATGCACTCTGTTTACGAAGAGGAATGTTTAAATCTCGTTGCATCTTGAACTGGCCAGTTCAGAAAGAACGGATAAATGCCTTTCATCATAAATTGCAAGTGGCACTTGGGTCACGAAATTCAGCACATTAAAATTATTTGGAGATTAAATTGATAGATAGATCCAATTTATAAAGGCCTATCATAAATCTGAGTTTTACTTGAAAGTTTCATGTTTATTTATATGTATAAATGATGATATTGTATCATAATTGAATCTCATGTTTTAAAGTATTTTTTATTTCAGGCCTCTCATCAACAGTTGGTTTATTCATTCATTCCAAATAAATACTTGAACAGTTAAAAGCATCCTCTATTTTTTGAGTTCGCAGTTGATATTTGAGGTATATCACAGCTTCAAAGGGGTTTTAAAATAGTCTTTACTAAAACCGAGAATTTTATAGGTATAATTTTTTAAGATGGAGTTTTCCTGTGTAACCCAGGCTGCCCTGGAAATTACTATGCTAAAATCTGATCTTGAAGACATGAAATCACAGAAATATGCCCGTCTCAGTCTCCAGAGCGATGTTTTTAAAGGTGTGTGCCACTACACTCAGCTACATGAGATTTTATAATACTCACATTTGGAAACATTTATAGAAGGAAAGATATCTGATTTTATGATACAAGCCTACTTCAATGCTAACAGAGTAAAATATTAAGAGTTTTTTTTATTTGGAAGCTTTGTGTTTTATTTTGATGTTGGTTTTGAGAACTGTTAGGTAGTTTTTAAACCTGCATACCCAAGAGAAGAATATTTTCATAATCTTCACAGTGTAACAGGCCCCTAGACCGTAACACAGCTGACCCCATGGTGGAGGTACTATTTAGGTCATACAACTCAGTATGAAGATAGCACCATCAGCCAAGATGAAAATGAAGGCCAAGTTCATCAGTCCATAGTTCTGGGAAGTCTCTAAATGTACTCACCTTGCTTTTTGGCTTCTGTAGTTCTGCTTCTGGCTAACCATTCTTCTTAAGTGAAGTATGTCAACACAGACTAAGTTCTTTGTGCTTAAAAGCTCACTCTGAGAAAGACTCTGGGATATCTACTCTGTAATCACAAACACTGGCTGGCTAATAAAGACTTCCTATTGGCTTAAACCCATGTCATAGCAGTTTTTTTTCTAGCAGATGCCCCACAACAGTAGATGACTTTTATTACTTAGTAAAATAGATAATAGAACAAATATTTGTATTTTCCTAATATTTATGTTTCTTTTGCAGGAGAATTTAAATAATTTTCTTAGACATTTTAAATAAAGGATTGCTTTGTTTAAAACAGCATTTATTTCCCCAGATCACAGACTCAGGAGGTGACTTTGGTCAAATCACTTGGTCTCAGTGGGATTCTTGGACTCTTCACCCATGAAATTATAATGACATATAAAACCTCAAATAATTAGAGATGATGATTTTGGTATAATATCCCTCCTAGTTAAGACCATTAGATTATGTTTTTAATAAAACAAACACTTCATTGTAAACTTGTATTTTGCATTAAAGAACCATACCATTTGATGGTTTTGCTCAAATTGTTTCAGCATTGAATTTGAGGAGTCCTTCTAACAGTCACTTGTGTCTCTTTTTCCCTTTAGTGTACTACTCTCTCCCTGGTGTGTGTGTGTGCACTTATTTTGAAACTGCATTATGCAAGGTAATCTTGGATGTTCCCTTGCTCCCTGTTTAAGCAGTCTACAAGGAGTTTTGGATCCTTCTAATCGAGAGCAGCATTATTATATTATACCTTGACATGCTTGTTAGCAAGTGAGTGCCTTCCATGCTTCCAAAGCAAGCAATACAAATGAAAATCAACTCACACATATGCACATATCTTTAAATATTTTCATATCCATATACATCTAATGTGTATATTAAATTAGCTAATCAGAATGTTAAAATAAGCCATGGAGTATTTTGGTGTCTCCAACTCTAATCCATTATCACACTGACTATTTTTATCTCCACCTTGCTTTTCTGTGGCCATCCATACCAACACAGATCACTGTCACTGTATTTCCACATGCTGTGGAAAGTAATGTTCACAGATACACTAAGATGCTTACATGCGATGCCTTTTACATTAGTTTTATATTCTGTTTTTCAAATTGCTTCAGATAACATTTCCTCCTCCCTCCCCTCAATGAGGTTAATATGTTCTTTTATAATATAGTTACATTTTCTTGTCACAGTCTGCATTCTACCCTGAAATTCCTGGATCTCTGACACTGCTTTAGTTTGCTTGCATACACAAAAGCGTGTTCTTTGTGTGGTGAAGTTTTATGGGTTTTGTCAAGTGCATGACATATTAAAGTTCATCACTTTGCAATCTTATAGGGTAGTTTTCTCACCTGAAAACATGCCCCAGGAACTGTCATTAAAAGGGGACTAAAGCAGTAACTTAGTGGTTAAGGGTGCTGCTTGCTGCTCTTGCAGAGGACCTGAATTTGATTCTCAGCATGTAGGTCAGGTGGCTTACAACCACCTACAACTTCATCTGCAAGAGATGTGATACTCTCTTCTGCTCTATGAGGACATCCACATGTAAATGTGCAAACTCACACAGAGATACATACAGACATAAACAAAAAGATAAAATTTTAAAAATTTATTCGAATTCGGCTTCTCTTGGAATTCTTATCAATTATGGCCTATTCACTAATTTCGAAGGTTTATGTTTTACATAATGCCATACGAATAAAGTCATGGTAAGTAGCTAAAAATGATGAGTTAATTGACTTATTTGGAACATATTATTTGCTGAATTTAACGAGCAACTTGCTGACACATTCAGTGGATGTAAATACATCATATCACTCTCAGGGCTGAGTTCACATGCTTGCAATAAGCAACATGACCAGTATTAAGGCAGACTACATGCAGACAGAAAACAGCAACTGCATGGCAACCAAGGGCTGATGCAACAGAGCTCATCACAGCAGAACATCACATGACCACTAGAAACCACAAAGACTAACATGGCCAATGGAGACGAATGATAACTGTCCCTTGTTTCTTTATACTCTGGTCTCCAATCCTTAGCCAGTCCTGCAAAATAGACTGTTACCATCATTCACTGGGTGCCATGACACATATGAAAATCCCACATGAGGAGAGAAAAGAGGCATAAATCTATCCTAGGAATTCCTGTCTTCTCTCCACCTTCATTCATGAATAATCCCCTCCCTTATTAACTTTGTCCATGTGATGTGCTATCCACAAATGCAGCCGATGTCTGACTCACTCTGAGAATGCACTTGGATCTTATGCATGCACTTTTGCTCTATGATAAAACTTCCAACCCCCGGTGTTTTGTCTATCTCTGGAGCATTTTCTAGACTGTTTTGAGAGTCAAGGAACACTAAGTTGGGATCTCCCTCTTACCCATCTCTCTCTCTCTCTTTCTCTGAGAAAACCTCACCCCTTACCCTTTATCAACTCCCAGTTTCGAAGGAGTCTGTACAATCTAAGCCTATAGTCACCCATAGCATGACTCTATGGAGAAAGATGTTAATTTTCTCAGTATCTACTGCCATTACTTGTTAACACATATTTCTTCAACATACAGGTAAGATTTGTTTTTAACTGCAATATATAGCTTCCTCTATTAAGGTATCATAAAACAAACATAATACTTCTTAAACATAACAACTACTTCTCTTGGTAATATTGTCTGTGCTATCAGTATGCTTTCTTTACTCTTGACTGACATATTTTCAAATTATTTTTATAAATTAATCATCGATTTATAGAAGACAGAACCTATTTTTCTCTTATTTTCTTGTCTGCTTTACGATGGCAGACCAAATGGATAAATTTAAACAGAATTCAAATACAATTTTTTTACTGTTTCTTAATATTTAATAGATTAAGACACACAGAGTGACTTGTTTAAACAAATACAAATAAAACTAAAAAATAAATGTGGGGACTCTGACTCGTATTTGACCCATACAGGAAGCAACATCCTAAACATCTGTACACTGCCCTTTGTAATTGTTCTCAGGAGACGTCTTCATCCCTTGGGTTTAAGACAAAGGAATTGAAGGCAGGATGTTTGTCTGACCTTCTGTTTCCACAGAGGCCTTGTCTTGTTTAATATTCTCAAGTTCCCACCATGCAATCTGCTCACTCCAGCTTCCTGTTTGCAAAACAAAGCTCACCTGAATCTATATGGAGCTTAAAATAAATAGCAGTATTTAGGCTTTGCATAAAAATTATATCCTTTTCAACTGGGCTTTAAAAACAAGAATAAATTTGTGAGTGAAGATGAGACCACTTCAATGCCTTTTCTTTAACAATGTCTCATTATTTAAGCAATACCTCTGGTTGCTTATAAAAGAGACATAGTAAATGATGCTGACCATTAGAAGATATAAACAAAAGTGTCCTACAGACTCTAGAAATGGTGAGTAATATCTTAGCCTAGGGCCAAGGACCAGGAATCATTTTCCAACCAGTCTCTCCCTCCCTCTCTCTCCCTCTCCCTCCCTCTCTCTCCCTCTCCCTCCCTCTCTCTCCCTCTCTCTCCCTCACTCTCCCTCTCTCTCCCTCACTCTCCCTCTCTCCCTCCCTCCCTCCCTCCCTCTCTCTCTCTCTCTCTCTCTCTCTCTCTCTCTCTCTCTCTCTCTCTCTCTCTCTCTCTCTCTCTCTGTTTTCTCCAGAAATTCTGGGAAGCAAAGACTTCATTACTGATTAAGTTTTTAGAGTAAGAATATTTTAGCAGTGTTAAGTTACTCTGGTCAAAGATAATGAGGCTCCTCCATAAAGGTGAATAAATTCTGATTCTAATCACCTCAGTAAGAAAGGAAGCACATTGTGGGAACCTCCCTACATTATTTACTCTTCCCATTGCCAAAACAAGATATCTGGCAGCATCAACTTAAGGATGATTGGGTTTAATATAGCTGGGGATGGGGCTACAGTCCATCATAATGGAGAAGACACAGAGGCAGGGGTATGTGGCAGCTAGTTTCATTGATTCCAGTCATAAAGTAGAGAGAAATGGATACCAGTACCCGGTTCACTTTTTCCTTTTTACCATTTTATTTAGTGAGGACTTTGGGTCAGTGTCAGCCACCCTTGGATAGTGTCACATACTCAGGGTGGGGCTTCCTCATTGAGTTACATCTCTAACCCAAACAGATGTGCCAAGAAGTGTGTTTTGTAGGTAACTTTAAATCTAGTTAAGTTGGCATCGTCCAGACTCAGTAGGAAGGCGCTGGAAAGAGCCTAGTATTGAAGTAGGGCTTGGTATGAGTAGCTTCAAGAAGAGGAGGTTTACTAAGGGTGAAGTCGTTGCTTAAGAAATTGCAATCAGGTAACCAAGAGAGGAGAGCCCACTCTATTTTGAGAGTGTTACAGTGACCTTTATTTCTGGACTAAGGATCTATGAAGTGATCTGCTGTATTTAATTTTATAAGACAGAATAAGTTTGCCTGAAGTTGGTGTATCTGTTTTATGTCCAGTAGCAGAATAGCCTATCCTTGGGTACCAAGCTAGCTTCTGATTATTCAGGGGCTTCTTATAGTGAATACTTGGTTGCAAGTGTCAGAAACTCAAGAGTTGTTTTGTCCAAAGTAGATGGTGTGTAGTACATCCAAGCTAGGAAAGGGCAGATGTTTAGTGTTCAGATGACCAGAATGCAGAAGAGGTGGCACACATCTTTAATCCCAGTACTTGGGAAGCAGAAGCAAGGAGATCACTATGAGCTTGAGGACAACATGGTCTACAGTATAGTAAGTTCCAGATGAGTCAGGATTGCATAACAGGTTCCTGTCTCATGAGAAAAAAACAAGAGGCTCAATATCACCTCATCTTGCACTTACTTTTCAATCTGTGTCAGTGTCATTGATGTGGACCTCTGGGATCACAGATAACCCAGAGTTGAGATAACACATTATCTGAGGCTGGGTAATTTTTTTAGTATAATATTTCATTAACTCTTTGAGAATTTCATACTGTGCCAGGTATTCCTGGTTGTCAACTTGACTATATCTAGAATGAACTATAACCCCAAAATGGAGGGCACACATTTGACTCACACCTGTTCTTTAGGAGGATGCAGAGTTAGACTTTAACATTGGTCAAGAATGAGACAACAC